TCTCCCTGCCCTTCACCTTCCCCCGCACTCCTCTAATACTGTCCCCTCCTCTCCCTTCCCTTTCGAAACCGCGGCGTGGTGCCTGTTTTCGAGATGTGGATCCTCGGGGATCTGAATCTCGACCCCTTCCCAGGGCCGTCTGTTCATCCTGAGTCGTCTCTCAAGTCTCCGAGGGCCTGGTTCGGGCCCCGAGAGCCAGAGGCGGTTGGGGCTAGACGCGACGCGCGAGGCCAGAGGCGGAGGCAACACCTCAAGCCTTCCTTCATGACGCGAGGAGGTCTAGGGTTTAGGCTGTTGCCCCCTGCCTTCTCTCCCCCTTCACAAGAGCCCAAATGGTGAAGGACGAAACAACTGAAGAAACATAAACTTTCGACGGTCCGCACGGATTTCTTGGATCTGCGCTGGACCCCACTCCCTGGCGCGCTTATATGGCCAGGGGCGACGCTGGAAGCGCCGCCAAAGGGCCCCAGCGCTGCAAGTATGCAATACATTCATCTTCGACCAAAGGAGCCCGGGCTTGGGGCATGGACCTGGCCCTGGAGCCCGTGGCTCAACCCCGATACCAGCCTCCACTGCTGCTGGTGCAGCTCCACGTCCTTCGTAGACATGAAGTATGCTCGCAACCTGAGGGTCAACGGCGCTAAGGGAGCTCGTCGGGACAGACAACTGTGGCGAGCCCTCCCCCGACCACCCCCCTCAAACAAAAACATGATCGGCCCACTAACCCGGAAAGGAAAATCTAGAAATGTAAGGCACAACAACGTTTCAGAGACACCTGATTGGGCGACGGGCAAATGTATTGCTGAATGTGTCGATCTTGATGTACCGTGCCGAGGGCTGTGCTGTGCTACGCCGTGCTGAACTGCGATGTGCCATGCCGCGATTGTGCTATATATAGCGTTGTAGATCGAGTCCTCCCTGGCATCCGAGTCCTGACCGAACTGATCTGGATCTTAAGCTCGAGCTGCCTGAGCAAATGGTAACTGCCCCAGAACGAATCGACAAGGGGACATGCCAGGAGGACGCGCCGCGGAACGTCCCAAGGGACGCGCCAGGCGACGTGCCAGGGGACGTGCCATGGGAAAGCACCGCGGGACGTGCCAAGGGGACCGCTACGGAACGTGCCAATGGACGTGCACCGCGCGACGTGCCAGGGGGGACTCGCCACGGGACGCTCCGCGTAACGTGCCAGGCAACATGCCAGGCTGCAATGCTAAGGGTATCGATATTGATGTACTGTGCCGAGGGCTGTGCTGTGAGTGGGCGACCTGGACACGTGAAAACACACGTTTCGCTCAAGACGTTCTCAGCACATCCTCATGCTAGACATCCGCCTGGGCGACCTGGACACGTGAAAACAAGGCTCTGGTTCGAGACATCCTCAACAAATCCTCATGCTAGACGTCTGTCTGGGCAACCTGGAGGCGTGACACCAAGCGTCTCGCTCGAGACATCCTCAAGACCTGGGCACGTGAAAACAAGCATTTCACTTGAGAGATCCTCTGAATTCAGGTCCCCAGGAGAGAACAAACTATAACACAAAACAAACGTTCCGCTCGAGACATCCTCAAAACATTCTGAAAAACAAGCGTTTCGCTCGAGAGACATCCTCAAAAATAATTTCGCCGGCCCTAGACGACCTTGTTATTTTTTGCAAAATAATGTCGCCGGCCGTACAGGCGTCAGAACCAGGGGTAAACACACTAAAAGAGAACCCTGGGTTCAAGCCCTTTCCGGGAAAAAACAAAATTGCAAAAGCATCGCCAATCTACCCGCACGAGGTCACAATAAGCACCAGCACGGCACCCAAGAGGATTCACCATTGCCCCCACTAGGCCCCCGACAGGCTTCCCACGAAATCCTAGCGAGCATCCCGGAGGTCTCATGCCCACATCCCAAGCACGGAGGCGCGATGGGCCGAAGGCCATTCGACATTTCATCCTCATCATTTTCCTGTTCCTCCTGCTCCTCCCCCCCTCCTTCCCTCGGCAAGCACGCAAAGCGAGAATGCATGATTGCCTGAATTGGGCAAAACTACTACGTTTTGCACGGCCGACGATGTCAGCCTCGCGTTTACGGGTATCGGTTCGAAGCTTAAGCTGTGGATTATGCGCTGCTGTTCCAATTTAATTAAACATTGCGGTTTCCCACTTCCGTGCCGCGGCGTTCCGCAACGGAGCAAAACAACTATTTGCTTTTTCATGTTTTCCTGGACGTGCACATTGCGATCGGGTTCGGTATGTATGAGATGTTCATCCGAATTGCGCAGCGTTTCCTGTTGACCAACGAACGTTTTGCGATTCGTATTGGCGGTTTCGGCGTTGCGGGCGTGGGGGGGGGCTACGCGGTGTCTGATGTTGAAGTCAAACCATGGGTGTTCGAGCTTTGGGGTTACATTCGCGACTTCGACTCATCACGTTTTGGGCGTCTGCGGTGCCTTCAGGTCGAATGTTTCCTTCGGGGAGCCTTCGGATCAGAATTCTGGCTCACTGTCATGTGAACCCTATGACACCTGTGGTCGTAATGAACGTCTGGCATGTTTGCGGCATTGTGACTTCGAGCTGCGTGCGCCGCTGTAGGTTTACGTGTGGCGGATTCGGCTTGACTGCGGTATAACCACGCGCATCTCAGGGAGCGGCGCTGGTTGTCGGCGCGCGATGACGTCGCGTCGCCATATCGACCAACGCTGCGCGCAAGGTACACGCACGCATACAACTTGAACAGCGCGAGCAAAAAATCAGTTTATGTGCTGAACATCGTATAAAATCATAAATAGCCAAGATCGAAATACACTGATCCTGAGGACCTCAAGGTTGACTCGATGGATTTGTTCTGGTACCCGCAATGGGCGCCGCCGCCACTGGAACCCCGGCGCAGCAGCCGCTGCAATCCCCGCCGGCGGGGCTGGCCGCGCCACCCGCTTCGGGCGTGACCCCTCCCCCTAAGCGGCCCTCGCCCTGTTTTCCCCGCCCCTTCGGCCACCCACCCTTCATTCTTCCCCCCCTCCCATGGTGGCACAATTCGCTACAACAGTGCCTCCGTTAGTTAGTTCATCCGCCAGCGCAGTTACTCTGCCTAGCCGCCTGCGCAACAAGTGTTTTGACTGGCACACTCGAGTTGCACCTTGGCTCGTAGTTGGTTTGAACTTTCCAACTGAAGTGCGACTGCGAAATTGATGCGGATTTCGACTGCGTGTAGACGCGCATGGCGATATTCAATTCGATTTGACATGTATATTTGCAATCCGAGTTACATACGAACTCGAACTTCGATGTATGTCAACTGGCATTTCGACTTGCATTTGGTTTGCACTTGAATGTGCATTTCGACTTGCAATCCTCGCGCGCCTACAAAAGGAACAACCGAAAGACATCCCGCGGGATAGCCCGCAAGACAATATATGAGACAACCCACGGGACAACCACGGAACAACCTACGGGCGAACCACAAAATCAACAACCCACGGGACAACCATGGAACACCCCACGGGCCAACCACGGGAGAACCACATGAGAACCACGGGACAACCACCGGACGACACACGGGACGACCTGTAGACAACCCACGGAGCAACCCACGGGACAAAACTTAGACTAACCGCAAGGCAAGCCACGGGACAACTACTACCGCACGACGCAACATATATCAGCACAAGACAACTCAGACTTTTCTGGGCCCCCGCCAGACGGGGACGAGGACTTATTACCAGACTCGGCCCTAGCCTCGGCCGACACATCGCCAGCCCCGCGCAACTTCGCCTCGCCCGCACGCGCGACGCGGACCGAAAACTAATTCCCAATTGGATCACTTTGGTCCCACTCTTACCCTCCGACATAAGACAACTGCGGAACGTAACCTTGACTATGTCCTCGAGCAGACAGAGCTAAACCGTTGCGAACCACCGCATGGCCTCCTCTTCATGCCTTGCGGTATGCCGCGGTCATACATCATGAGGTTAACCTGGTCAAGCAACTCGTGATACTGCTGCTTCAACTGGCCCATATTGCCTCAATCGGTGCCCGGTAGATGTGACGGCGAGACAAACACAGAATATGACACCAGCCTAGATGACTCACGACATTTGATCGTGCAAATGTACGCACCACGTGTTCGGCATTCGGACAAGCACGGCGAGACGACCACGACATTTATCGAAAGATCAAGGGATGAAAGTTCCTTGCGCTCACATCGTGCTGGTGCAGACCTCAGGACTTGAGATGTAGAGAGTCATAATCCTACTTGGGGCGTAGGCGTCACGAAACTCAGTTCCAGAATGCAGCAAATGAGGGCACCAATGAACACAAAACAATGGACGGTGATGAGTGTGAGGCTCTGAAAATCTTTGGCAGAAGAGATCATCTGCACGAACATGCATGTCGACTGTCGAAGAGACCCGCTCCATGTGTTCAACGGCAGTCGTGCCTACAATACAAGTAACCTGGCCGATGATGTACGCCCAGGAAACACCTGTGATAACCACAAGACACTATGGTAACAAAAACAAAGTAAGATGCCATGCAACTGGCTCCTAACGTGCCCACAACAACTCTCTCGAAACCTCCACGCGACTCATGGCAAAGGAATAACCATATCCATCTGGAATACATGGCACAATCGGTAAACAGAGGGTACAAGCATCAAGCCTCAGCGCACCGGAAAGGACAACTTTTGGAACATCTTATGCCTATGTATCCGACGCTTCTACAATGATTTATCACTTGGGCAACTTGTCTGTAATCCACGACGACACGACCACTCGGTAAACATGAAGAACCGATGACTGGTTGACACCATCCACCACGTAAGCAACGGCACGCCAATCAATGAGCAACTCAGCTGGGCCAACTGGAGGATAGCAAGACAGGAGCACCCACTTATAACACAGAGGCGACGCCAGGAACTATTCAGCACATAGTCTTCGATACTCTTCTGCATTCAAACACCTGCAACTGCAGCGAGCATCTGAACTCTTTCAGAGACGCTGCGCTCTTTGTTAGCCTGTCACGCTCGTACACAAAATGTACGACTGCGTTCACGCCTGCAGACATGCGTAACTGTCCACGCATGAACGCGTTCCGCGCGCGCCACTGCGCTGCATATTTGACCCGCAGATGAGATCTCGCTGCGCATACCAGCACGCAGAGGAATCAGACAAAACGCGCCATCTCACCCGATGTGCAATGCGCTCTAGTGTGACACTGCCCTACCTGCCAGACCGTGGCAACGCAGTCTCGCGAAACATCGACGGGCCGCCTCCCTGAGGCGGTTGCGTGATAATCGCCCCCTGACCAAGTGACTGCTCATGTTGGACGCATGTTGGCCACTCTCGGTCGCTATAGTGTGGCCCAAAAGCCACGTCTGCATCGCAGAGCGGAGAAGCGGGGGGCTGGGAAGGGGCATGCCACTCCTCGCTCAAAACCTTGCCCCGAATTATGGCCGCCGCGATCGCCATGACGACCTCCAACACCGACCCGGAGGTTTGGGTTCGGGGCCGGATATGACACGACGACGAAGGCCCCCACTGCCAAACAACTGTGAGTCTCCATGCCCCATCCCCCAAACAACCTGATACCAATAGAAACACTACGCAGACTGCGCGCTCCAATATGTTGTTCGGGCCACAATCGCCGTACCCCACCGACGTCATGGTGTAGACCGCGAAATAGATGGACGACTGGTAGAGAATCCTGCCGTGCCCCCCTCCCCGAGGATAAGACATCAACTGTCCACCTCCTCGATGCTGGGCCCCAAATCGGTGCATATCCCAACATCTAGACGGATACTGGCCCTGGGATGGGCCTGGCAAGGATCGGTACGGTAGATGGTCGGCGTCTTCCAAGAAGGGAGAGGAGAAGAGCGGCCGTATCCAAGCAACGGGGCTCCGCCTTGAAATAACATGTGCCGACACGCCAGCTCGTGCGCTGGGGCCAACAATTACAATCCGCTACCGTGCCACGTGGCACAATGACGCGTGGTATGATGCCAACTGCTGTCTGGTGGGGGCCCTGTCCATGTTCTAAACTACGAGACCCCATCGCAACCGCATGCACCACCCCTCTCTCCCGAGGAGTCCGGGGCGCTCCGACGCCTCTCTCGGGCTCTGCATGGCTCTCCGAAGCGAATCAGGCGGCTCAGGAAAACCACGAAGGTCGCCAAGATGGCCGAACGTTTCCTCAAGACGTACCCGAAAACCCGTAAGAAGAACCCAATCGGTGATCCATTTGACTCGAAGAAGGCCCGACACACCCCAACGACTCTTTCCGGGAGGCCTTCGAAATGAAAAAATGGTCGACCCACGAACCCGAAAAGGGACATGGAAATGTGAGGCATGGCAACGTTTGCAAGACACCTGATTGGGCGACAGGCAATTTCAATAATGAATGTATCGATCTTGGCATACCGTACCCAAATCTGTGCTGTGCTGGGCCGTGCTGAACTGCGATGTGCCATGCCGCGATTGTGCTCTGTGGCGTTGTGGACCGAGTTCTCTTTGGCATTCGAATCCTGATCGAACTGATATTGATCGTAAGCTCGAACTACCTGAGCACACAGCAGCCGCCCCAGAGCCAGATGAAGTGGAAACGTGGAGGACGTAAAATCAACTCGACCTCAAAATCCGACTCGGCTCCGAAAAGGAACGACATGAAACGGGGTACAGGCTCACGGGCGCGCCGCAGGATGTGCCAGGGGCGCAACAGGGAATGCGCCAGGGGACGTGTCAGGGGACGCATCAGGGGACGTGCCCTGGACGTGTCAGGGACCCGCAACGGGACGTGCCAAAGCGCGTGCCATGGGGCGGCCAAAAGACGTCATGCCAAAGGACGTTGCAAGGGGCCCGCCACGGACCGGGCAGGGGAAACGCCTGGGGACGAGCAAGGAAACGCGACAGAGGACGAGCCAGGGAAAGTGCCACGCCGAGTGGCGTGCCAGGGGACGTGCCAGGGCACGTCACGCCTGAACGTCGCAAAGGACGCGCCAGGGGGCGCGCAAGGGCGCTAGGGGACGCCCCACGGACGGGCGGGGATGGACTGCGACGCACTCTACTGCGACAAACGCTTCGCTTGAGACATCCTCAACACATCCTCATGTTGAACATCCGCTTGGGCGACCTGGACACATGAAACCAAGCATCTCGCTCGAGACGTTCTCAGCACCTCCTCATGCTGGACATATGTCTCAGGGACCTGGACACGTGGAACCAAAGGTTTCGCTCAACGCATCCTCAACACATCCTCATGCTAGACATCCACCTGGACGACCTGGACACGCGAAAACGAGTGGTTCGCTCGAGACATCCTCCGAATCATATCTCAATGCTAGACATCTGCCCGAGCGACCTGGGCACGTGAAAACAAGCGTTTCGCTCAACACATCCTCAACACTTCTTCATGCTAGACATCCGCCTGGGCGACCTGGACACGTGAAAGCAAGCATCTCGCTCGAGGCATCATCAACACGTCTTCCAGGCGGAGATGCGCGATCGGCTGCGCCGGCAAATTCAAAGCCACTCGCGCCATCGACGCGATGGCGAACGGATCGCCATCCTCCGCGCGCCCCGCCGCGGGGTGGGGGGGTCGTGAGTGCAGAGCGCGAGAATACGGCCACGAAGTAGCGAACTTGTCTGTGAGAGCTACGAGAGCGAAGCAAGGACCCCCCTTTTCCACCGTCCTCCTCGTTACTTCCCCCCCGCCCCTCCGCCCTCCCACCTCCCCCTTCGCCCCCCCCCCCCACACCCCCATCTGCGATCCCCCTCCCTGCCTTCGGCCCGTTCTACCATCCCTTCTCTCCTGCCCTCCCCCCCGCCTCCCCCCCCGCCCCGCCCGCCCCCGTTCCACTCTGAACGGCGCGCTCCCTTGCAGGCGCGCGGGGGCCCCGATCGATTGACGTCCGCGTGGAATGCCAATGCGTTTTCGGAAAACGCGCCAGACGGCGCGCTGGGGAGGGCCAGATCCTGCCGCGACATGGGTCAGGCCCAGACAAAAAAAAACCTGCGCCAACAGAAATGCCAGCGGGCAGGACGCCATTGGCATTGGCACGGGCGCCCGCGGATCCCACCATTGGACGGACCTCGCACTCCTGCTAGGTCGCACCCGCCTGGTCTTCAACGGGGGGCGAACGCAACAGCCAACCTCTACAAGTCCACAAATACTTGAGGGGGGGAACGAGCCAAATCTACAAGTGCATTACATACCTATTTGCCCCGAACTGCTTCTACAGGTAGAGCAAGCACCCGTTTACCCCTAGCGCCGGGGGGCAAACAGGTAGAACCTGCGCCGATTTGCCCCGAGGCCGCGCTGTGCCTGTTTGCCCCGGGCAAGCGCAGCGACTGCATCGCCGATGCCGCTCCAGACCTATTTGCCTGGCGGGCCTTCCCCCGGGGGCTTACTCCTGTAGGGGCGGTGGCACGGGGCAGTTCCGCCTTCAAGAGTAAGCGATTGTCGAAGGGAGGGGAACGGGGGGCAACGTGATCGACCCACGGACCCATTAGAGGAATTTAGAAACACGAGGCATGGCTACGTTTTCAACAAACCTGATTGGGCAACGGGCAATGACAACTTTGAAAATGTCGATCGTGATGTACCGAACCAGAGATTGTGCTGTACTGCGCCGTGCTAAAATGAATGCGCCATGCCGCGACGACTTGCCATGTGCTCAATAGCGTTGCGGATCAAGTCGCCTTTGGTATCCGAATCCTGGCCGAACCGATCTGGATCTTCAGCCCGAACTGCCTGGGCACATGGCTGCCCCAAAGCCAGGAGCAATCGAAACGTACGCGACGCTCAATCAGCTCGAACTCAAGACCCTACTCAAATCCGAGGCGGGACGAGACGGCACGAGGCGCAGGGAGCATGGACGCGCCACAAAATGTGGCAGGGGCGGACTCGGGGATGCGCCAGGGGACGCGCAAGGGGCCCTCGTTATTTATCGTAAAATAATTTCGCCGGCCCTACAGCCGTCAGAACCGGGGGTAAACACACTGAAAGAGAACCCTGGGCCCCAGCCCTTTCCGGGAACAACAAACGTGGTGTCGTGTGCAATCCATCCGCAACATGCAGCTGGGAATTGAAGTGGAACGCTGACCGCACGAGCGGCAAACTTGCTCCACCTCACAATCGAGGTCGCAATGCGTGGCAATTTGCCCACCTATAAAGCTTGGTCGTGAAGCGCACGTTGTGGCTTTGGACGGCTGAAGCCGTCCCTGTTTCGCTTGTCAAAATAAAGACCTTTCCAATCTAGCTCTCACTTCTGCCTCCCCCCGAGCGCCACATCGGACTCAACTGCACCTGTGGTCAACTCATGGACCCAACGTCCCTCCCCATTGGGCCTGTGGAACAAATCTGCTCGAACGCAACTCGCCAAATGATAATGGTTCTTTCGTCGCTGGAGGGTGCCGGCAACTATATGTAACATGGCTAGTTATCTGTGCAGCGTGATGGCTACAAACACCCCGGCGAGCTTAAGCAACTATGAACACATTCTGAACATTGCTGGCGCCAGGCGCCACTTCATTTGCGAGCAAACCCGTCGTGAATGTACCTGAGTCACCCGCACGTGATAGCAAGTTGGACTGGTAGCTGGTTTCAGTGCCGATCTGGCATGTAATTAGCCGTATCCCCCGACGCTTGCAAGCAGTCGGAGCGTTGCTCGCCTCTGACAGATTTGCCTCGACAACTCCGCCTTTTTTGAGCTCCAGCATTACACCCTCCCTCTCACACACCGGCCTCCTGCTCCTAGATGTTGCATTCCACAATGAATTATACCAGGAAAGGCAACGCTATCCATGTGAATCCGTGCAGTTCCGCATCATAGGCAACACACGTGACAACGCCATGTCGGCCAGTGGCCAAAAACAAGACACTGGTAAGGATGATTATGGGAGGGCAGTGCATCACGCAATGTGTGTTGCCCTAGAACACAAACTCCTGCAGAAGCCTTGCCAACGTCCTTTGCTTGCCTCGCCCCGCACCCTCCATGGCTGGTCGGTCGTCTTCGTCTGCTCCTGCTGGCAATCTCTATCCGTATCTCCTTCCCTTCGTGACTGCGTTTGCGCGCTCCTGACGCCAATATCGGTCCGTCTCTCTTTTTCTCTGCTTGACTGCGTTTACGCATTCGCACACAAACGGGCACACGCATACAACCATAATCGACGACAGACGACACCCGTGAGGACACAAGGCCCTGCCGAAGGCGATTTCCAACGACAGAAATGTGTCCTGAGAGACATCGGTCTTAAACCCTCGGGCTTTCCCCTGGACCCAGTTTGCATCCAGGACAGCTCTTTGACGGCCCTGGGACCTGTGGGCGAGGGGAAACGACAGGGGGGACAAGTTAAGGGGCAAACATCGCTGGAATCGGCAATACATGATCCCGGGCTCCGGGCCCACCGGCCCCCCCCCCTCCCCCCCCAGATGGTATGGTCCCAGGAATCCTCGGGCCCCCCCCCCCCCCCAGATGGTATTGTCCCAGAGACGACGACGACGACGACGACGACGGCGACGACTACGACGACGGCGACGACGACGACGACGACGACCACGACGACGACGACGGCTGCGGCGGCGACGAGCAGATGGGGAGGAGAAGACAGGTCCGCCCAGACCGTGCCACCAAATTACCCAGACGGTGCCCAGCCAGCGGCCGCGACCGCGGGCCCCAGCGGTGGAGCCGCCAATCTCCAGAAGCGCTTCGCCGGAGCGCGTGCTCGAAGGGCCGTGCTGTCCGCGAGGGAAACGCACGACACAGGCGAACCGCACACAGAGGGGACAACGGCAGGAGCAAGAAATGGCGATACCAGCACCACCAGCGCGAGGAGCCAGGGGGGAACCTCATGGTGGTTTGCTCCCCCCTCCCCGCTCGAGACGTCCCCTATCCCCAGCTCGGGGAGGCATCGTGGACCTCCTCGATGGATGTCGCACCCCTACTGGTGGTGCCGATCTGTCCTCTGAAGCAGGGCGACGAGAGCAGCCTTCCGCGAACTAGCGGCCTCGGGCGCGACAGGCAGATAATCGATGGGAAGACTTTTTGGTTCGCGCCTTGCGACCTGTGCCTACCAGGGAGCGCGATGCTGAGCATCAGACGCTGCGCAACGTGAAAGGTGCAAGGATGCCTCCACCATCCCACGGCTTCTACCCCCACAGGACCGCGGGCGACCTTACGGCAGTGGGCAAAAACAGGACAGGCGTCGCTCCCTGCCGCGGCAAGGCGGATCCTAACCTAGAGAACCTAGAGCTCCTTGGTTCACAGCGAAAGAAGCATGGCTTGGATGACATATAAGAGTGTCCACCGCAAGACTTTCGGAACGGTGGACATGATAATGATAATGCTAACAAGACCACCTAATAATAATCATGGATAACACACACGCACATGCTCGTATTACCACGAACCGTGAATTCAAATTAACTACCTATAATTACGACCACCCTTCGGATGGTACGGGAATTTCGGGGGGGGGGGGGGGAGGGACCAACGCCTCGCTCTATCGATCTCACGATACGATCGACCTCACTATCAATATCACTATCGATTTCATTATCGATCTTATCATCGATCTCACGACCGATCTCGCTATCGATCTCACTATCGATCTATTGATCTCACTATCGATCTCACTATCAGTCTCACCATCTCCTACGGGACACCAAAAGGACACCGACGGGACACCACGGCGGGACAACCCGACCACCACCCGCCCACCTGGGGAGGTTCGGACAATTGTCTTGCCACCGCCCGCCCACCGGGGGAGGTTCTGGACAATTATCATTCCTCTCGCCCGCCCAAGCAGCTTCGCCTCGCCCGCACGTACGACACGAACCCGAAACCGATTTCCAGGTGGGTTGTCTCCGTTCCATTTCCATTTCACCTCCCAATCCTCCGATCCAGCACCGTGCCGTCAGTACGTAGTGGGGTGCTCCCAAGATCGTACAAATGTGAGAAATCATGAAATTACTGAAACTGTAGGACTGTTACGGATCCAATCCACTAATGTCCCAGAATTCACGGGCGGTCTTAGGCACTCACATTGTCGGGGACCTACTGGCCCGTGTCAGTCCAAACCCGGGCTACTGGGTTGGAGGAGAAAGGAAGGGGTCCGCAACAAAGGGTTTTCAATGGGTACTGAATGGCCCATCCATTGCTTACTCAAATGATCCGACATGGTTGGCATCCACTGCGCGTGGGCACATTGAGGCGGGAATGCGACGCTCAAGCGCTGTCCGTTGGCGATAACGCATCGCCCACCCATTGTCGCTAGCACAAACATAATGGAATCCATGCGTCGTCAAACGCAAGATGTGAATTCACATGTTGGCCAACGCAACATGTGCACTCACATCGCGGAAACAAACATCAAAATGCGAATTCACTTCTAAATGCGCATGCCGTGAATTTGCGTTGCGTGGTTTTGGAAGTCTCTCGATTAGCAGGCCGAACATGTGAATTCACATAGTGAAAAAAACGCATCATGTGAATTCACATGATTTGGAAACGCAGAATGTGAATTCACACTTGGGACATCGCACCAAGTTTTCAAAACGCCCCGGGCGATGGCCCGCGACGTAACAATCCGGGCAACGATGGCTGGGCGATGCGCTACCACGAACGGACAACGGTGGAGCGTCGCACTCATGCCTCAAAATCCCATGGCGTAGTGGAGGCCAACCATACCGGAGCATTTGAATGGGCGATACAAAATCCATCGATGGGCCATTCAGCACCTACTGAAGACCGCCTGTTGTGGACCCTTTCTTTCATCCTGCGAATCGGCTTTTGCAGGATCCTGTGCGCAAGCCCAGGTCGATGCAGCTCTGGCTCTCGAAGATCGGGCGCTCTGGCTGAACCCCGCTTGCAGTGACCCCCACCTCAAGGCTCCCGATGGCGTTTCCCTCGTGGCCTTCGGGGGCGCTGAAACCTCTGAAACCGACTCCAACACCCCCCAACGGCCTTCCAAACATCGTCCAAGAAGGCCCTGCAACTTTCCGTCGCCTATGGAGGCCATCCTGGGCCTCTGTTGGGTGCCTCTTATGCCTTCGGGCCGCCCCAAGATTTCCGAATCCCTGAACACATGTTTGACATGTTGTCGACGTTAGCCAGTATGGGCACCAAACCTTATGTTTCCAGCAACCTGTGTTGTGCATCTATGCGATGCAATCGATGCTGTGGGTTTTACGTAATGAATATACGATGTGCGATCCATGTGGGGCGAACTCCGGGGTTCAATACATGTTACATAAGCTATGCGATGCAGCCTGAACGCTGCAATCTACGTGGTGCAATGTGCGCCGTGCGCTCTACATGGTGTAAAAATATGTGATAGCACTCACCTTGCCGAACTTGTAAGTTGTCGGTTCCACTGCTCGCGCAAGCATCCCACCCACCCACCCGCAACTTGGTTTGCAAAACCCATGCGGAAGCGATTGCGATGAGTGCGCGGCGTTGGCTGGTGCATCTCTGCGGCCACACTGGCCCGCGCGCGCTCGCGCGCGCAGTGGCCAGCTACTTTGGCGCGGCCGACGCGAACGCGGTGGCGCCAACCGCTCGGCACATCCCAGCGGGCACTTCAGTGCGAATCGGCGGCCTGGGCGGGCGCGGTATCATGGCAACGTCGGCAGCCGTAGACACGACGATGGTAATAGCGATGCTGATGGCGATGCTGACATCGACGACGGGGCAGCCAGTGACGTCACCGATGCGGAACACGCTGACGACGATGACGGCGTCTTCGCGTCGGCGATGAAGGTTTTGGAAGGAGTTCGACGCCATCGCGCGGCAGGCGCGCGAGGGTGGCCCGCGTGGAATTATTGGACACGGATCGTGCCGCCCCAGCACGCGCGCAAAGGCCTCCGGACGATTTCGACATGCGCGCGCGATGCCCGTTTGGTAGCACGTAGAAAAACCGACGGCTTCCTTAAGTATTCGCAAGGGCGCGCGCGCAAACTTTTTGTTGGACATCCGCGCTGCGAAACCATGCGTTGCCAGATGTTGTTTGGACACTCGGTTCTGGATTCCGTACGGCACCGTAAGTTTTTGCAAAGGGCTTCGGCACGCGCGAACGATGACGCGCGCGTGTGCACTTGGTCTCACTGGTTGTGAGGGATTCTTGACACTTGCTGATTTTTGATAAGCGAGCGCGCGCTTTAAATTCTATTGCAGGGGATAGCGGGGGGGTCGGTGCAGGCCTGGCTGGGATGGCAGGAGCTCATATCTAGGATGGGCAATGGGGCAGAAACGCATGGAAACTGCAAAGCGACATGATGGACAGAAAAACAAGGGAATCTTATTTCTAATATAAAAAGGGGAATTCACTTTCCGAGTGCGAAGTTGACAACCCGACTGCCCGCGTCATCATCTGAACCACCCGATCGCAAATTGGCTTCCGAAACCTATGCCGAAGCGATTGCGGTGAGTGCGCGGCGTTGGCTGGTGCATCTCTGCGGCCGCGCTAGCCCGCGCAGGCTCGCGCGCGCAGTGGCCAGCATGTTTGGCGCGACCGACGACGCGAACGCGGCGGCGCTGACCGCCCAACACATCCCACCGGACATGCCATTTCGAGTCGGCGGCCTGGGCGGGCGAGGTATCGCGGCAACGTCGACCGCGGCGGACGCGATGCTGATAGTAGCGATGCCGGTGGCGATGCCGACATCGACGACGGTGCAGCCAGAGACGGCGCCGAAGCTGATCACGCCGACGACGATGACGGCGCCTTCGCGTCGGCGATGAAGGTTTTGAAAGGAGTTCGACGCGCGCGCGCGGCAGTCGCGATAGAGTGGCCCGCGTTGTGCGATTGGACACGGATCGTGCCACCCCAGCACGCACGCTAGGGCCTTCGAGCGATTTCGGCATGCGCGCGCGACGCCCGCATGGCAGCATTCTATGAACATGTTGACCACCTGCTGGTTTCCTTAAGCATTCGCAAGAGCGCGCGCGCAAGCTTTTTTTTTTTTGTTTTCGAAGCCCGTCTTGCGAAACCCTGTGTTGTTATATGTGTTTTGGGTGCTCGAC